AGCAATACGATGGCGCTGTTCCGCTGGTGTTCGAGGAGTTTGCGTCGGTGCTGCCTTTGGTATTCGAAGACGAGCAACAGGATCTCGCTGAAAATTTCTGGCGCGACTTGAAAGAACCCGGCGCTGAATCTGTCCGGGCCTGGCGACTTTTGTGGATTCATCGTCTTCAGAGCTCCGCACAAATCTGCCGCCGCGAGCGGCCGGTCTAGTTCTGCGCGTTGTTCCGCAGTCAGCTTCTTGTCGAGGTAACGGAGTGCGGCGCGTCGGGTTGCCCGGCTTGGCGCTTGTTCTGGCGGTGGCGCTGTCATGATGGCTTTCCAATGCTCCGTGAAACATGCCGCGACTGCCGTCGGGTCCGTCACCGTGTTGGCGCCTACCTTTGCTTGCTGAATCGGGACTTTCATGGTCTTGGGCTTGCGAAAGAAGTGCGAGCTGCTGCGCTCTCCTTGATTCGCGTACAGGTCGAACTGGTCATCGAGGTATTTTTGGTGCATTTCTGCCTTTGCTATGTCGTAGGCCGTCTTGGCCGCTTCAACTTCATCGTCGCTGCGACGTCCGAGGGCGTGGCCTGCGACCGCCGCGTGCCACCTGAGCTCTAGCGTACGCAGCGCTTGTGCGAGCTCGGCCCGAGTGTTGTGGTGCCTCCGTTTTAGACGTTTGCGCATACGCTTCAGCCAGCCCGCCAACATGGCTCTGACGTTGCCGTCCGGTGCAGCTCTCAGCTCCTGAAGTAGTTGCTCCGCCTCCGTAGTGATCATGGCCACTATGGCTGTATCTGTCAGCAGCTCTCGTGGTAGGCGCCACGGTTGCTTGCTCCGCGGGCGGTCTTCGGCGCAGAGTTTACCGTGTGTGTCATGTGGTCGCCTCCGTATGCGTTCGCAGCGTAAGCTGACGAAGCATAAGCATGCGTTACTGTCGTGGCGTCGACGAAGAGGTAATCCAAGCGGTTCTTGCTCGTGGGTCCTGACCAAATGCGTTCCGTCGGGTGGTGCCAGAGCCATGCGTCGACGACGCGGAGCGCCGTTAGCCACTCCACACACTCACGCTTGCCCTGGCTGTGATCGGCGCGTCGGCGCCGAGCGTCGAGCGCGACATTCATGGGCATATTGAAGTCGCCGCCGACGATGTGGATGACATCGGCAGGGAAGTCACGGGGCAGGGATTCGAAGAACGCGGGTCGCGTCGGTGGCCTGACGGGGACATAGACGTTGTGGAAATAGACATCGCTAGCGCCCCATCGCGTCTTGATCACCATGTACCGGTCCTGGACGTCGTGCTCGGTTAAGTGTTGTAGCCCAGAGAAGCCTGGCATTGACTCGTGAAAGAATGCGGCGACGCAGTGACTCCGATTGTCCGGGCTCGACGCTAGGTCCTTCCGATGGTCGTTGATAAATAGTTGGTATTTTTCGTATCCGACTTCGTTGCGCAGGTGCACGTGGAGGCCGTCTACTTGATGCGCGTTGTGTATTATTGTTTCTTGGAAGAAGAGGCACTGTCGCGGGCGTTCGAGAGCGCTTGCGACAGCGTGGCCGTACTCTCTCACGCCGTTCAGGTTGCATGTTGAGGTCGTGACGGGAGGTAAGCCTTCGAGGATGGAGCCCGCGACGACTTTAGTTACGAGGTGGTGCATCGTCGACCGTGTCCGCCAAGCCTTCGTCGAGGTCGCCGACTTCGAGTTGGCCGTCCGTGCTGTGCGGCGTCGCCATGACTTGCATGGTGCCGACGATAGGCCATTCTTTATCCGTTATGAGCGCGTCGAATAGCTCGATGTTCGTGCTAAAGACCGCCTCGTCATCATCCGTCCCAGGTTCAGCCAGTTCCTTCATCTGGCACCACAGGTCTTGGCAGAACGTGTCGTGTGGTTCGTCGCAGTTCTTGTAGAAGCTCAGCAGCGTCGCTGATGAGAGCGCTCGCGCGCCTTCCTTCATTGCGATAGTTGTGACCGGCGCGCGAGCGATAGTTGCAATAATCGCGTCGTTAGAATGAACGAGCGGTGCATTTATCGCGAGTAACACTTCAGCCAGCGCTAGAATTTCTTCAGCGTCGAGGCTTTGTAGCACATCTCCATCGTCGAGTTCGTCGTTTTTATTGCGGATCGTCCAGGACGGCAGCATCTTAGCGGCTTGTACCTTACGGAAATATGTTGTCATGCTTGTCGTCGAGTAGTTCTCGCCAACGACCAGCTTGTAGAGGACATCAAACGGTCGACTCTGCCCGTACGTAGCCCGGAAGAGACGGTTGAGCGTGTGCTGACTAATGAAGTGAAAGAACAGCGTGCGGTTGAGTCGCGCCATCTCCTTGAGTTGCGCGCCAGCCACGATGGGGTGCAAGCAGACGTTGCGCCATGCCGCGTCGATGCATCCCAAGGTCGTGAGTTCCGCAAGGTCGAAACGCTTGGTCTTGAGCGCATCGGCCGTCTGCGCCGCTTGGTTCTTGATCGTTGCAGCTGCAGCCTCGTTAGCAGCAATCGCTTCGTCGAGCACTTGGTCCACGGTCTGGGAGAAACGCCAGACGTCACCGCGGTGGACTTTGGTACTGTCGGTGCGAGGGCTGCTACCTCCAGTCCGCGCGGCCCCGGTACGTGTTGTTTCAGGTACGTACACCGAGTACGGGCTGGAATCGACGACAGTGGTCGTCCTGGTGATCTTGAGCTTCATGAAATTTGCTAGCCCTTTGTCACCCACGTACGTGGTGAGATTTTGACCGTAGTGTCCTCCGTGCGCTTCCCCTTGGTGCTTCTACGGGAGTCCATTCCGTGTGCTGTGGAGTCGACTTGGCTGTTTTCGCTGTGCTGGCGACGCACGGCTTGGGTGGGTCCGTGCGTGCTTTCTTGGCCACCGGTGCTACTGGCTCGGCAATCGCCTTTGGCGGTGTCCAAGGCTTATGCTTCGGTGGGGGAGCAAGCATCATGGCCAGGTCGGCACATAGGTCCGCAGCAAGGACCTCCAGGTTGCGTCGTCGAATCGGGCGGTTGAAGGCCGAATCATGGTCCATCGTGTATATGCGGTGCCAACGGCGGAAGGCGAGAAGCTCGTCCGCGCATTTGTCACCTACCAGCAGAAAGTTCGGCTTGGCCATGGCGCGGAAGTACCGACGGAATCGCGCCTCGCGCGTGCCTGTTGATTCGGCGGCCGTTACGGCCGTTGCGTAGAAGAGACGGGGTTCTAAGGCGTAGATGAAGTCACAGAACGCTGTTTCCTCGGCATGCGACCGAAAGCCTGCTGGAACGTCGAAGTAGAGAGTCCAGGACACCGACCTTCTCCAACGTGCAGCGCGCAGTGACCCCACGTGCGACCGGGATGTCGAAGGCCAGTCCTGGCAAACCGTCCAACGCCTCGCGTGTCGCAACGCCCCACTTCAACGTGGACGTGTTCGGAACCAGATGGACCCGAGTGAGGTGCGACAATAGAGGCTTCACATTGGCTGGCACTTGCGTGGCGGAGAGTACCGTTTCGATGACTGGCTGTTCTTGCAAGACGAACTTCCAGTTCGGCGGCAGCTGATCGCGAATCTTGTCCACGTTGATGTGCATCAGTAAGTGTCCGACCGTTTCGAGGCGCGGTGTTGGATCGAGGTCCACTACTGCGCCGTACGTCCACGTGCCTGATATCGATTTCTCTAGGAGAGTGGCAAGGTCCACTTCCGACAGCGGGTGAAAGCCGACATCCCGCTTGCGAGACGTTCGCTTGTTCCCGCCCACTGCCGAAGCGTGGCTCCGAGGCTCAGCGGTTGGTGTCGGTGTCGCGGTAGTAGCCTGTTCGGGTTTGCTTGCTTGTTGCCGCGCTGCTTTGGCCGCCTTCTTGGAGACCTTGGCTGCTTCCCGTGGCGTTGGCCAGGTTCTTGCGATGGCGCGGTTCTGTCGCCTTCGTCGTCAGCTTCATCTTAGTGTCGTCTTCGTCGTCGGCTTTGTTCGTCGTGTTGCGAGGTTCCGACGTCATCGAGGCGTCGTCGTCGTCGTCGCTACTGGACTCAGCTTCGCTGTTGCCGTCGTAGCTGCTGTCGCTATCGCTGTCGACTTCCATTCCAGCGTTATCGACTTGCGTCGAGCTCGAGGGGTTTTCTGCCGGCGACGCGCCGGCGTGGACAGGGATAGCGTTGATGGGCAGAAAATCGGCGAGGGAAGTCATCCTGTTGGCTTGGTACGCGCTTGTGTAGTACAAGTCATAAAAAGCAGTCAGTGTGCCCGAGCGGTCCAAGGGGGTAGACTCAAGTT